TCCTGCAAAACCTCCCCAGCGGCGGACTCCAGAAAGCCCGGGGCAGAGCAGCTCTGCCTTGGGCTTCCTGGAATCAGCCGCAGATCAGTATCAGCAGTGGCTGAATCGGGGACAGCGGGGGTGCTGCTGGGTTGGTCCCGCAGCCCCGAGGGGCAGCGCTACGGGACCTACCCGGCGGCACTCCAGCTGCTCTGCCCCCAGCTTTCCCGATTCAGCTGCTGGTCAGTTTTAGCAGCGGCTGAATTGGGGAAGCTGGGGGCAGAGCAGTTCCAATAGTCCGGCTGCCCTTTGCACTTCCGGGTTCCTGATGGTGCCGGACCAACAGGAGCGCCAGACCATCGGAGTTTTACTGTATTAGGCTCGGAAACCTAGGGGAAGGTGTATGGCTTTCAGAGCCCAATTGGCAATATCTATACTCCTGTTTCAGCAATGTAGTAACCCAGGAGCTGTTATTCACTGCCCCTAAATATATTTTATTTCTAGTGCAACACAGACATACCCTAAGCAACCAACTGGGGATTCCACTGCTTAATATCCTTCAACGCCTCTGACAAGGAGCATGATGGAGTGATCTCTGGCTGCTCTAACTTGTGCCAGGGAACAGTAGCATATAGCTCGTACATCAATCTGTTCTCTCTACTATTAGGCCCTGCTCTGAACAAAGCTCACCCTAACATTATCATCTGACCCCAAGGAAGTGAATCTCTACTGAGAGGGAAAGCCATTTTATTTATGTTCATAGCCATTTGACTCAAAATCTGTATGAACAACTGGAAGACAAGCTGTCTTTCTTAAAGATTCAACATCTCATCCTCAATTAAGGACTAAGAAAACCTCAAATACCTTTTGTAGACTCTTCTAAGTCAAGACATCCAGGAAACAAGAAAGAAAATACTTGATATGCCTGATACACAATTCTAAACGGTCTTCCCTTGCAAGCCAGGTCATCTTTAAAACAGGTCAATATTTCCCAAGTTTTGGTGCTAAAATAGGCACTTCAGTGTCCAAATGTTCAATTGAGCACTGAAATGTGGCATGAAGGTAACAACATATGAAAACTGGCACCACTTAGTTTTAAGAGTTCAATATCTTCATCAAAAGAATTCTGAAGTTATTTAAATTCAAGTATTTATAATATTTAATTATGTTGTTTTAGAAAATACCTATATAAAGTATATATTAGCACTGTTTGTGTGGTGAACAAATGACTGGGCATTCAAACTATGAGAAAGATTAGCTTGCTTATTAAACAGTTTTAACATCATGGTATGTTATGGCTCAGAATTTTTATTTTACACACACAGCATCTGCTTTTAGCATGATTAGAGAAAAATGCCTGACACTCTGCTCCTGCAAAGGGATCTGCAAGTGTGGAGCCCTACTCCCGCTGACCTCACTTATTCTAGACTCTTTAGTTAAAATGTCACATTATTGTAATACAAGTGGGAGAGCCTGCATAGGCAGACCCGATTTTGACCACTATTTCACAAAGACAAGCTATGTGCTAAAGGCAAGGAGGGCCAGATCAATAAAATTCCAGTGTTTTGTCTCTTATTAGTACAGCTGCTCTGATGGCAACAGGAAAAGTTTTAGGACAAATACTGGTAATCCAATATAGACACCATTTTGGAAGTCAATGGGACTGCCTATAGGAGTAAAGGTACATCCAAGCAGATCACTTTGCCAGACTGAGGCATAAGCAACCAATTAGATGCAGTAACTGCTAGCATAAATTAAACATGTGCGTTTCTGCGATAAATTCTAGCAAAGAGTTTGCTTGACTCACCAGTTGAGATTTAAAATTAAAAAGAGTTGTTCAATATATATAGATCCATCAACCAATAATCTGTGTGGTTTACACAAACATCCAGGTGATATAAAACATGTTTTTTAGTGTTCCAAAATAAAAAGATACAGTTTAAAATGGATAAAATATATAGAAAATGCAATAATTTATTAACATCAGAATATTAAAATCAGAATATTAAAATCACGAGATAGACTGGATTTACCTTCCTTTTTTTTCTCTACATTTCATTGCAAATAAAGAGACAATCTGAACCGATTTATTTATTGGTTCTTACTTGGATGTTGCTGGCAAGAGACAAGAATTCTGGATTCTCTGGATCCCCACATCGAAGATCAGACATATAGTCTTCTGCAGAATTCTCCAAATCTTCATGAGTGTAATTATCCAACATGTCCACCGGGAACGCCATCCCCCTAAAAAACTGAACATGAGTATGTTATTGTAGATATACTATACAGTATCTGCCTGCAGATATTTTGTCCTACTAAAATTAAAATTAGAATGAGTTTATTAGTTAGCACTTCTCTACAGAGAAGCCATACAATTTTATTGGGAGCAAGGAGCATGAATGACAGCCTCTTTCAAACTTAAAAAACAACAAATAGTCTAGTAGCACCTTAAAGGCTAACAAAACATGTAGATCAGTGGTCCCCAACGTGGTGCCCGCCATTTTTTCAGAAGGTACTGCATGGACGTTGGAAAGAACAGAATCTTCTCCACACACGTCTACAGCTTTACAACACAACAAGGCGTATGTTCCATCTAGGGATGTTAAATAGCGGATAATAAACTAATTGAGTAGTTGATGGAATTTCCATCAACTACTCAATCGGTCGATAAGGGAGTTCACTGAGGCTCTGCTTTTTAAATATAGTCAGAGTCACAAGGCTCTTACTGCATTTCAAAAGGCAGAACCACAGTGGTCTGGAACTGGGAACTAGCTGGGACAGTTGAGTCCTGGCTCACACCCAGTCCCAGACACTGCATTTCTACCTCCTCTGCCCCACCCCCAGAGACAGTGCTGGGGGGGGGGGGAATTGGTTTTTAAGCTGACTCCCCCCAGCACCCAGCACCTACTGCTCCCCTACCTTGCTGCCTCTGATACAGGGGCAGCAAGGGGGGGGGGAGCGACTAGTCAAGTAGTGACTTAACTACCCAATAAGGCTTACTGAGTAGTCAACTACTCGACTAGTTGTTTACATGCCTAGTCCCCACCTATGTATGGGGAAAAATAGGGAGAAGAGGATTGCCCAATGGATCCATGTAGATGTCTGTCCATGGTCTGAAGGACAAGCACAGGTCGTGGGAAGGTTTCCTTGCCTGTTTTCACCATGCTGCTTCACTGACTTCACTGGTCTGTGTGTTTTATTTTGAAGTTCTCTTCCTGAAATTGCCATTGCCTGTACTTTTCCACTAGTCCCTCAACTCTGATAAATCAGCACTATAGGCAGCAGCATGCCTCCTTGCCAATGGGAAACCTGCATGTAGAGGGGCTGGTTCAATAGAAAGACAGTAACAGCACCTATAGTAAGAATTTCTAAGTATCAGTGATGAGAATGAGAGAAAAAAGGGAAGAAGAAAAGGGGGGAGAGGGGAAAGAATCCTTCTTACTTTCTCTACTCACCCAGGAGTGCTCACCAGGACTCTCCAAGATTCTGTCCAAGAACTCATGGCAAACCCTTTGCCTAAATAAATACTAATTATCTTTCAAATTTTTCCACGTGTCAGGCAGTCTAATATTGTTCTTCAAGCCAGGACTTGCAACCTTCCTGTGTATTTGTACTATGCCTAACTCAGAGAGGCTTTAATCTGGTAAGGGTTTTTGAGCATTACCACAATTCAAAAACAAGAAGAGAAAAATGAAACAGACTGTGATCTCCCTCAGAGAGAGCGCTGACACCTACATCTCAGTGTCCATGCATCACAGGAATTATAGTTGTATGCGTTCATTTACACTAGCTTACATTGCAACATTCACAAATACTGTATTAACAAAATCCAGCATCTTTTAGCAGGCATTTCTTATAATTAGGGTTTCCAGGTTTAAGTAGCACACAGACATAATTTATACACACAAAATAGGACAGACCATTGGTTTGATCTGTATTGAAATTTACTATGTTCCTTGGATTTCTTTGTTGCCTGTGCCCACCATTGCCTCTGTAATACCTCTGCTCTCCATTCACTCCAATACATGCACCATACTCTCAATATCACACAAATGCTCAATATCCCCTACTCCCTCCCTACTCCCCAGTACAAGCACTAATGGCAATAAGATAGTAAACATGTGCCAGCCTAGACCTCTATGGTTACTGTCAAAAAGTTATCCTACCACATACAGGAATTGGGCTTAGCCCCACCTGTGCCTAATTAGCTGAATCTCAGGTGAGGGAATTGATTTCCTTTATTGGTACTCTCACAACCTTTACAACACAAGACAACACTGACAATACAGCAAAAGGTCCTTTCAGTGGGGCCAAAAAAACCCAAAGAATAAAGATTGTCCTGGGAATCTTCCTGTCTTTTTCTGACTTCCCAACCTCTTCCACATTAAATTTCATCCTTCCCTGTCTAGTGGAATTAGGGAGCAGAGGACAAGGGAGCAGTTCACTCAGGAGATTAAGAGACAATGACAAAAGCTAACCTTCATTGCAATAAAGGAGGAGGTTGAACTATTAACATACAGATTTCCTGTTAGTCTACTATTTCTGTAAGTCTTTCTAGGCTATTGTTTTTGGCATTTTTAGCGGGGGAAAAGGCAAAATCAAAATACAAAGCATGAAGCAACAACTGGCTTATTGAATGAATTTTTTTGATTGCTAAGCTATTGTGAAAACTAAAACAAAGCAATATAATTGTTTACATCTAAAAATGAAAAAATAATTGGTTCATGTTTTAGGAAAATATTAATAATAGGTAGAACATTCCTTTCACATCCTTAAAGAAAATGTCTTCAATCAACAAGAACTGATTACCATTTAATGAGTCCTGATCCCTGCTGTTTCTGAGTTTTTTTAACATGTACCCAACTCAGCAACAAGGAGAGCAGAAGTAAATGATGTAAAATAAAAAAGCTAACTTCTCAATTGTATTCCCTCCTACATTTTTCCTCAATTCAGCTAATGAATTTCCAACTCAGATCTTTACAGTGTTTGTGTAAGAAAACTGTATTTACAGCTCTACTATAGTAGATAACAGCGGAAAGCCTGACCATTATTGTTATTCATCATCCATAAATCTGAATGCGCTACTGTCATGGTCATGAGGGATGGCCAGCAGCCTGGGGACTAAGGATTTAACTATACCTAGCCAGGTAGCAGTCAGCCAACAGAAATGCAGATAGGGATTTCAAACTGAGAAAAAGGAATTTTGGGGTTTTTCCCTCCTTTGTCTCTGAGCCAGTTTTGCTCTCCAATATTGAGGGGGACAGACAACATGTCTCTCTCCAAGAAAAGACTCTTCACCATCTGTAAGTAGGGTAAAGTTTAGATAAATCCACTAGGTTTTATTGTTTTATGGTTTGGGACTGTGAATATGATGTCTGTGCTGTTAGAAATGGGCTTTCCTCTCTTTTGTAACTAAGTTTTGAGCCCATGGGAAAATTCCCCATGAGTTTATTAATTGGTGGCTCTTACCATTTAGCCCATCAACTATGCTTGTAACAGGAGTATTGTTTTGATAAAAAAAAGTTCTTTCTTTTTTTTTATTAACCTGGTATTGGTTCATTTCAGTGTCCTGGAAAATCTGTCTGTGGGATCTGCATGACTCTGACTAGGGGAAAGCAGCCACAGACAGCAATCTTTGGAGAAAAGAGCTTGGGGTGCCCCTGGGGTTGGTTTCAAGTGTCCACCCCAGTTTGGGGGTTCAAAAGCACTTGATGGTGGCAGCAGATTTTTATCCCCAAAATCTAGGCTTTTAGGGGGAACTTTTATACCAAAGCCTGGAGACAGAAGATTTTGGGGTGCTTTTGCAGGCCCCCACTTCTGCATTCATCATCCCAGAGTAAGGAAAGCAGCCTTGACAGCTACAGATTATCTTTTAAGGAACAGTTCTAAAGCACATTTATGGGGTAATTCATTAGAGTAGGGCCAGGCAAATACAGCTTCAGCCAAGCTCCCTGCTTTCCCTGCTCAGCATTCAGGAAAGCAGGCTACCAGACTATGTGCTTCTATGAATGCTGTGAGCCTAGGGGAGGGGGCAGAAGCTTCTCATGAATGCCCCCAGAAGAATCTTGCAGCTCCCATTTGCCAGTTTACAGCCAACAGGAACTGCCTGTTTCTAAGACAGGCAGCATGTGAAGGAGGATGTGAAAGTGTAACCATGTACACAATTAACCGATGAGCCTGGGCTTATCGGTTAATCTTCATAGTTACACACAGGCTCTTGGGGAACCTCCTGTCGCCCTCCCAATGCTGCCTCTATGTCAAAGGCAGCAGCACAGGGGGCAGGAGGGAGCCCATACACATGGGGAACTAACTTTTAAGCTGGATCCCTGTGTGTACCAGTTTCCAGGGAGCTACCTGTCCCACTCCCCTGCTCTCACACACTCCATTCTGTGCTCCAATCCCTTACCCCAAACTCCCTTCTGTATTCAGTCTCTAACCCAGACTGGAAGAATGCAGCCCTTGACCATTTACCAAATGCTTGGAGTGGCCCCCCATCAAAAATTATTGTCCATCCCTGCATTAGAGTCTGTCTTGTGGACTACCTTCACTCTCATTAAAGATAATAGTAATTGCTTAAATGGAGAAGGATTTAATGGATCTTTTGATGTCTGTTGGGGCAGCTCAGCAGCTGGAAACAAGAAGAGAGACCAGCAACATGACACAAGCCAACAGCTCTCTGAAGACCAGCAAGCAGCCCAATGAACTATCATTTAGGAATTTTAATGGAGAGAATAATCAGTTGAAGGCAATCCAATAATAAGCAATTCCAGTAATAAGCAAATTCCATTCCCACCTGCTACAACAATACATTTCACATTTTCAAGATTCTTTTAGACTCTAGAAAGTGAAAACCATGAAGGCTTTCATCTCCAGAAAGAAGTTGCTTATATAATCCATATTTGTGTGAATTACTATTTAGTTTTTCAGATGAGAAAGCCTTGTATACCATCACAATTCTGGCTTTTGGACTTTTTTGGAGAGGGAGTTGGGGAATGAAAGGGCACCAGGAGCAAAGCAGGTCCTCATCACAAAGCTTATCATGCCTCTGTCTCTTTAAGCTTCTGTGTGCTATGTGACTGTAAAACTGTCATGTCAAATCCTTGTCACATCCTGTGAAACGGTGTTCTGTTCATGAGATAATCCTCTGATTGGCCAGGACATATTCTGGCTGAATGAGCAAACTCGATGTAGCCTTAAGCAATCTAACTCATCAAGAGCTTTCATGAAAAATGGACATGAAAGGGGAAAGAAT